TGTGAATGTTAGTATTTAGCAAATGATTCAAAGGAAACCCTACAAACCTGCAGAGGAAACACTGGACTTTTAAGTGTTCTTTTTCTAGCTCAGAATCATTGCACAAATACAGGTTTAAAAATATAAAACTGCAGTGCAAATGTATAAATTTGAACTTTAAATGTATAAAATATTAAAACTTAGTTTGGACTACAAATCAATTTGGGGTTTCCATCAATGTACCAAGTAGCTGAGCATCTGCCGTCATTCTTGGATATTTACTGACACTTCTCTGCAAAACTGAGACAAAGCACTGAACACTTGAAAGCACGAACATGAAAGCACGAACATGAAAGCACGAACATGAAAGCACGCCATCTATAGCTAGCAGGTTATGAGGTCTGTCTCTAATACTGTACAGCCGTCCTGATAGAAAGTCATGTGTTCATATTTATAGTTATAGAGTAAATATAAATAACTATAAATATATAGAGTATATTTATAGTTATTAAATATAAGGTTTTTGGTTTAATTAACAGCTCTCTAAAACAGAATGCAGGGAGGCTTTATTACAGGGGTGTCGTATTCAGACTGCAATACTTGTAGCTTCATACATATAAAAACTGCTAAAAGACTGAGTCTGCAAATCTATTTAAATACTGTTTAAAGTGTTCTTACCTTCAACAGTGTGTCATAGTTACAATACCTGGCTTTTTCCCCACAAGGTTTTGAGCACCATTATTTTAAATTCTGAGATACGTGATCTTTTGTCCAAACTTTTTACTAGTTGCTTGTAACGTACTCCTATTCAATTACACACTGAAGAACGTGAAAAACATGGAAGTTAACCATTAAGAGCAACTGGAGTTCACTTCCTTTCTCAAGGTCTATAAAAGCAGACATACTTTTATAGATCTTGAGAACCATAAGAAGAGTTTTCCCTGCCATAATCACATACAGTAATCATTTATTGAAAGTTGAGACTATAAAGCAGAGTTGTAGTGCTAACATCTGAGACAGCGTTTTCGACTTGATCCATTTTGATATTATACAAAAAGCTGTGTGCTTAACTCTATATCTTATACTCTTATCCATCATTTAAACCAGACCTT